ATCAGCAGCGGAGCACATAAAGTAAAAGAATGGAACATTTAAGTTATCTAGTTTTCAGCAGTGCTCAGTAGAAATAAAATATGAGCCACATGTGTAATTTTAAATTTTCTAGGCTGCGCGAGGTGGCTCACGCCTGTAATCCTAGCACTCTGGGAGGCTGACGTGGGCAGATCGATCAAGGTCAGGAGTTCGAAACCAGCCTGAGCAAGAGTGAGACCCCCCGTCTCCACTAAAAAAAATAGAAAGAAATTAATTGGCCAACTAAAAACATATAGAAAAAATTAGCTGGGCATGGTGGCACATGCCTGTAGTCCCAGCTACTCGGGAGGCTGAGGCAGAAGGATTGCTTGAGCCCAGGAGTTTGAGGTTGCTGTGAGCTAGGCTGATGCCATGGCACTCTAGCCTGTGCAACAGAGTGAGACTCTGTCTCAAAAAAAAAAAAAATAATTAATTAAAAAAAATATTTTAGTAGCTCATTGAAAGAGTACTGACTACTTATCAGAGCAATTCTAGCTACTTAATGGTGAAACAAAAGATTAGTTTTGTTTTCATCTCTTATCTTTGGAAACCTTATTAATTGGGCAAGGTGAAATAAATCGAAATGTGTGTGTCTTAAGGATCTTAGAGAACCCTGGTTGTTGTTATCTTGTTTCATTTTTAAATAACAATTCTATTAAGCTATGTCTGTACTCACCCAAGCATATATCCTGAAAGCAGAGTTTTAAAAGCTCTTCTCAGGTGTACCCCATACCTGAACTGGAAGCACAGCTGCCTTCCTTTATGTGGAAGCAATTTAGAAGTAAGAAAGGAACAAAGGTGATAAACAGTATCTCCTGGGGTACAGCCAAAATGTGTTCCCTTGAGTCTCTTACAGCTCACAATTCCAAATCCTGCTTTCTCTGGTTCAAGGCAATCGTCAGAGCTACTCATTCAACTGTGACTGACACACGTGAAAACAGCTGGCCATGAGCACAAAGCACAACCTGCTCTGGCCAAGCACAGGGAGGGTGGAGAAGGAGCTTCTTCCTTGGTAGCAGTTCTGAAAGCCTGCCCTGTGGATCCAGCGAGTGAGAACAGGACAATATTCTCTTGAATGTTGAAAAGTATCATAGAGCTAGGATTACAGGCGTGAGCCACCGCGCCCGGCCTACTTTTTATTATTGTATTGCTATTTTTATTGTTTTTTTTTCTCCAAATATTTTCTATCCGCAGTTGGTTGAACCTGTGGATGTGGAACCCATGGATAAGCACTAGGTACTTGACATACAGAGATAGTACCTGATTTACTAGCATTGGTATTCCTGGCAGAGGAGGAAAGAAGGAGAAAAAGAACCTAGTTTCCTATCTTATTTCTCTTGACTCCTGATTCAGCTGCCTGAAACTCAGATTCAAAGAATGTTTCCACACTCGGGCTGACTCAATTGCTCCTTGATCATAACCTCAGATTACCATTGACCTGCGAAGAATTTTCATATCCCTGTCCCCCCAAAATTCTCACACATAAATGTCACACTCTTTTCTTTTTTTTTGAGACAGAGTCTCGCTTTGTTGCCCAGGCTAGAGTGAGTGTCGTGGCACCAGCCTAGCTCACAGCAACCTCAAACTCTTAGGCTCAAGCAATCCTGCTGCCTCAGCCTCCCGAGTTCTAGGAATTTTCCTCCTTGGTGACAGAAGCAGGAAAGAAAATGTAGAAGTAGAGGATTTGGTATATTTTTCTCCTCATCTTCTTACTACTCATAAGATTGTAGAATCTGGACAAGCCCCATATCTAAGAATAATAAGAAGGTAAACTCACACTTTAGGATGAGAAAATGGATTTCAAAGAGGTTAAGACTTGCCTAAGGTCATAGCCTTGACTTAAAGGCAGAGCCAGATCTCAAGCCCATGCCTTCTGAGTCTGGCACTCTTCTTTTCTGTTACACCATTAACTACACTTATTTGAAGGTATTTCTTTTAAACATTGACAAAAAACTACCTGCCAATTACATGTATTGAATGAGCAGAAGCAAATATGCCTAAAAGCTGAATACTAATAATACCAATAATTACAACACAAGCTCCGTCAATGGCTATTGTGTTACATCAATGTTCCATGTGCTTTAAACATGTTATATTTCATCCACATGAGATCTTATTATTGCCATTTTATAGATCAGGAAACTAAGAATTAGAGAAGATAACTACTTTATGCAATCGCACACAGTTAGTAAATGGGAGATGTGATATTTGTGTTCAGATCCATCTCATTTCTTAGCTGGGCCCTTAAGCTATGTATTTTACTGCCCCACCCCCACAAACATGTAAGAAAGATTTCCGTAGAACAGGCAAGAGACTACATTTAATTGTTCTCTTTCTTGAGGATTTCCTAATTCTCTCCGCATTTCTATCCTCAGTGGTTAAGTTCTATTTTTTATTATATAAATAGGATATATAACATTTCAGATTACTTTCTTGTAGTCTAGCAGGGTCAGCAGTTCTCATGCAAGGTTGACATTTAGGCCGGGCGCTGGTGGCTCACGCCTGTAATCCTAGCTCTGGAAGGCGAGGCGGGCAGATTGCTCAAGGTCAGGATTCGAAACCAGCCTGAGCAAGAGCGAGACCCCGTCTCTACTATAAAAGAAAAGAATTATTGGCCAACTAATATATATAGAAAAATTAGCCGGGCATGGTGGCCATGCCTGTAGTCCCAGCTACTT